TATTACTGGAGGAGGTGCTCCTATCTCTCGTCAGTCAAAAAAGTGTCCGCGAAAACATGGCGGATTTTCACGTTTGCTGACGCCATATGGTTCCTCCCATAGAGATTATAAATAACACTAGAGGAGGCATTGTAATCTTAATTCAGTAAAAAAAAGGGAACGCGACTATTGGGGGGCAAATTCAAGTCCCGGATGTGTATTCGTGTTCCCATTGGTGACGAGTTTCAAATCAGCCAATGAGCGCACGATTTTATATCCGGGACTTGAATTTGCCCCCCATTAGCTGCGTTCCCAATTTTTAAACTCGATGCCTCCTCTAGTGTTATTTATAATCTCTATGGTTCCTCCGGCCCATGGCAATTACCACTGACCAACCGCGATCCTAAGCATCCGACAAAGACCTTCGCTCCCCTGTTTTTGCACAAATATTTTATGTTTTCAAGACAAAATCACGCCGTTTTTCTCCACTTGTGGATGCAAAAATTCGCTGTAAAGACTTTAAAAGGAAGAATATTTCTTCTGAAAGGTAAGATTTGTGAAAATTTTAAGTTTTTACCTTTTATTCGACTAATTCTCGATTGGCAAAGTCAGGGGCCGATATGCGTATAAAATCGAGGTATAAATATGTATTTGTCAAACTCTTATATTTTATATTTACACCAATATTTCTGGAGCAGACCTAAAAAAAACGTTGTACATGGTTATTTATACATTGTGTACATACATTTTCTTTCTAGTTTCGGGCACTGGCTTTTGTTTTTAGTGCCAGTTTATTAGTTTAAACAGCATGCTGCTCATGCAATCTGTAAGGTAGTTAATTGCTTTGTTTCATAAAGAGCAGTTAGCACTAGATTTATATACAGTATAAACAAGCTGTATTGTATCCTTCACAAATATTATAAACTGCTAGTCTTGCTACTTGCTAGGTTTTGTATCAGCATTTACCAATTGGCTGTGTAATTTAGGCTTTTTTTGTGGGGTTGTGCACTACATTTCAGTTCAGCATCGAGCTATCATCGACTTGTGCATACCCAAATTTGCATGATTTATACTTATATCATTCTTGCATTGGCATTACCTTGAATGCTAGTATGGGTCAACCTGACAACCTCTATGCCTCATACAAATCTCCAAACAAAAAACTTCCACTCAGAAAATACCTCTGTCATGGGAGTCTTGATTTATGTTTAGCCATATTTATTTAGGTCCCTTAGAGGTTAACCCATTGAGTCACATTGCACCCTACTTTATTATTTTGCTGGTGCTTAATGGGTTAATAGCTAGCCTACGCGTCTAGTTATGAGTCGCATTGCACCCTGATGCGCCCTTTACTCTGTCTAACGCCATAACGCCCAGATTATTTTACTCTGTCTAACACCAGATAATTTTACTCATCGATTGGGGGAGAGCGATGGCGCTTAATTCAGATTTATACAAGATTAGTGGTGCACCAGAGCTAACAGTTCCAATCCAGCCACAGCTGTAACTTGCAAAGTAGGGGTGGTGGTCTGAGCTAACTGGCCAGAACCTACAGTATGCACCCATTGCAATTAATTTTGAAATGTACATGAAACAGTTTCACACCATAGAATAAAACAATCATAAACAAAGTAACTTTATTTCTAATTTCTATTACAGGCATCAAAGTGATATGTAATTATACAAGAACTGAAGCAAAAATGTTCTTGCTGTAACAGATGTATTGTATCATGATAGTTAACATTGATGTATATGATCTTATTTGGGTGTAACAATGTGTAGTAATACAGTATCTGTAGTATAAAGTATCTGTAGTAGTAATCTGTTATCGCTACCAAAAGAAAATTGAAGAGAGATAACATGCCAAACAGCCAAAGTGATGTCACAGCTCATGGGACTACAAAGTGATAATTATACTAGAATAACTTGATTATACAGTTAGTTCAAACTGATTGGGTCATTCAAAGAAATATCCACACCCCTAATGGTAGAGATGGGAGGTTCAGCTTCCTCCCACTTTTGGACACCCTTAGCTAATACTTTTACTATTATCAGCAGTTGAGTTCTGCCCACTTCAGACAGCACTTCTGACATCTGTGGAGTTAGTGTTTATCTTTTCTGGAATGACTCATTGGTGATTGGTAGTTAATAATTATTCATTGAAGAATTTAAATTAAATTAAAATAATACAATTTCAACTGCATCATTGTGGTGGTAAATAATTCTGCAATAAACAAGAATAGATTATATAGGTTACTCTAAAAGAGAAAAAGCATGAAAAATCATATCAAGGGAAAATGAGGAATACAAAAGAAATATACTAGGTTTTCAGACAATGCTCGAACTTTGTTGGCAAGTTGAGTGACCCCTTGAAAATACATTGTTTTTTCAGAATTATATTTATCAAGAAACTATTAGAAGTTACAGAAACCATAATCCTATGTGTATGTACACCAAAAGCTACAAAAATATGAACAAATATAAAGGCCCCAAGCTCTTCAGCTGAAACGTCGAGGTTTATTTGTCTTAGTCTTAGCTACAGTGGTTGCATCATCCTGCACTAACTAGAACCCCCACCCAAGAACTACAATCATAGTGATTCAAAACTCCTTAAGGTACTCCGACAGCAGAATGAGCTTCCTTGAGTACCTCTAGCTTTTGCATATAAAGTTAGTACAAAATATAAAATACTATAAAGTCTCTTTGTTGTTCCCTCAAAATATAGTGGTAAGTACTAGCTGGTAGCACATTATACTGTACTTTCATGTAATCATGTCATTATAAAATCAGTCCCCAGGGTCAAATTAAGATAATTTGATATTTGTAAAATGCACAGTTTCGTGCCACCTACAGAAAATTTTCAAAATAGTATCATGAAATACAAACTGCACAGCAGGCTTATTCAAAACATCATAAAATAGACAAAGAGCATGTAAACAAATAAACAATAGATCAAAATACCATTTTGCACACGATTTAAATGAAACGAAAGTTGATTACTTTGTACAACAAGGCTTTACGAGACCTTTACATACTTGTGGCTAAAATATAATACATTGTACCACAGTTAAACCCAACAATTTTTGTAGAAAATTTGCTCGAGTGTGACTCAGTGTGTGAAGTTATGAACGGAGAAATATTTTACCTGTAGTTGCGACTTCAAATATCGTCTTTGCGGATGTATTTCGAGGTTTTCTGTCTTTTGAGGACGAGAATATAATGTGTACAACTTACACACATTTGAACCAGTGGGCAAAGGTACAAAAAATATGAAAAAAATCAAAACTACGAGAATATACTGCAAATACTTCAACAAGCAAAAATATTTTAATAAGAACCAGGGGGGTGTGAAAGTCGTAGCGGGCTCAAAATTGAGCCTGGTCAGTGGGAATTACCATGAGCCGGAGGAACCATATGGCGTCATTCTGGCGTCAGCAAAGGCCGAAATCCGCCATGTTTTTGCGGACACTTTTTGATGCCGAGCACGTCCTCCAGTAATATAGTATAGCTCAGTGGGTACGACCAGGGTACGATCAGCTCAGGACGACCGTGACCCAGTGCTGTGACCCGACGTCCACACACGGTACTGAACCCTCAATGACTGAACCCCTCTCAATTACTATAAGGGTCTCTCCGTTAACCTGTCCCGCCTGTTCACGACAAAGAAATGCATGTTCAGAGGTCCGCGTTAGGTTACTATGTTCATTTCGTGCAGAAGAAACGAAGAAAAAGGGCGAAGCTAAGGGACTGTTCATTATTTACACCTGGGGTTGGTACCGAAGAGATATGGGTTGGGTAATCAAGTTTTTGACTAGCTTATGGGTTGGGTAAAAAAATTGTGGCTGTTTGTCAGCTATAAAATTTAACCAAAATTACCATGCATTGGAAAATATGAAGAAAAATGTGTAGAATACATTCTGTACCAGTGAGTTTGAGAGTGAGTGAGCTTTCAGAATTTAGGCAACTTGATTTCTGTCACCATAATCTTATGTGTTTAATTAGGCCAAAAAAAAAATATGTGGGTTTCCGGTTTCTTCTTACAAAAACTTAGGTAGGATAGGTCGGTTTTAACTTTTTTTTTTTTAAACTTTTTTTTTAATTTTCCGAACAAGCGGACGCCATTTTGTTTAGTCTATGGTTTAGTCAGTGCTTCCACATCCAAAGATAAATTTCCCTAATATTGCCTCAAATTTCAATTTTCCACAAACTTTTTCCTCTAAGTGGAAACACTTACAAGCATGATCCAATAAGAAAGTTTAGGGTCGGGATTTCGGCGTCCAAAAGCTAGGTAGGGTCGGGAAACCGGAAACCCACATATTTTTTTTTTGGCCTTATTATTAAGTACAGTACCACATGGGTTGGGTAAACATTATTTTGACCAATGACGAGGTTGGGTAAATAAAAAATTTACAGTGTTTTTCGCTTCTCTTCGGTACCAACCCCAGGTATAAATAATGAACGGTCCCTAAACCTGCCGTTTAAATTCGACAAAGGCATAACAAACATAATAAGTTATCCATCTATTTAGTGGTACACAAGTGCCTACTTCGTTATATATGTATACTTTACCTAACCCACTGAAGAAGCCCTAATCGGCGAAACGTTTGGGTATAGCTAGAAATTATTTTAAATTTTTTTAATGTCTGAAGTCTGTCAAGAAGTTCATTTTAACCAAGATTCATACCAACACCAGACATGGTTACCGAAACACTACCATATATATACATTTAAAAAAAACTCATTAATAATTCATGAAGAAAACACAAAGAAAAATCATAAGCGTGTCGTATCTGTATATGTGATACAGATTCATGTTGATTTACATAAACTTTAACTTTGATTTTCTCGGCTTAGACAACGTTTATTTTTAAAATTACTTCGCCAAGAACTCATAAGATGGGTCGTTTTTTAAGCCATTTACAACATTCGCGTCCGTGTTGTATCGGATATACAAACTCTGTATATCCGATAAAACACGGCCCCTCATGTTGTAAATATAGCTTTTTTTTCATGTTGTAAATATAGCTTTTTTTACCTCAAAAGGTTGTCACAAGAGCCTGTTTCACCCAAGAGGAATCATAACGTGTGGCTGACAGATTTCGAAAAATGGGCTGATGATTCCTCTTGGATGAAACAGAACAACCTTTTGAGGTAAGAATGAACAACCTTTTGAGGTAAGTATATATATATTTTTTATATACTGTATATATGTGGTATGGACACTCGTGCACACTGCCACTGTCGATTCTGATGCCAATTTTATTAAACAACGTACACGTTTGAAAATCGTTTCCAAAAACATTTTTTGTGCATATGTTGGATTTGCGAATCATTGTAACTTTGCAATGCTGCATATTTGTAATATTTCTCAATTTGAGACAAAGAATTAGAATTTTAAATTAAATAGGACCGGAAAAAGATAAAACAAACACAATGGGGAACAATATTGAAAATATTTTGTTATACTACACCTTGCATTGTAAACAAAGACGGACGATTCAACTTGTTTGACAAAATACCTAAGAAATGGCATTGCCAAAAGTCTCAATCGTATTCCTACAGGTAAACCTAAATTCAGAATAGTAACGTAACAATTTATACAGAACAATCCTATCGATAATAACAACTGCGATAATTATATACGATTTGTAAAGATAAATAACACTACTTCAGAGTGTTATTTATTTCCAATTTCCAGCTATAATTAAAGCCATATACAGATTATTTTATAGTAATACTGCAATACTTTGAACGATACTATAAATGTTTTAATAAATCCTGTTGTTTTAGGTTGTCATTGTAATTCATTTTGCTCTTACAGTTTGGTAAGTTCGTCAATATTTTTATCAAGATCTCCGATAAGTCAGTATGGATGAATGGATGACCATGATTGGATTTGGATCAAGCGGCGCAATGTTTGAGTGTTGTTTCACTCAGTAGATTAGAGTATATTTATAAAAACATATGTGATATATTTTTCAAACAAAATTTTCTTCACTAACTGGTAATTTTGTTCAGTTACTATTCTCCAAGAACTTGCGCTTGAAATTTATTGAAATAAAACTGCTGAACAATTTTGCATACACTCAAGTTACCATAGAAAATTTATTGAATGAGAATGACAGCTGTAGGCTTGAGACTTGAAGTAATCTAAAACTTTTCAGTAGCACTTCAGTGATATTGAGAAAATCGGGCTCTATTAAACGTCATTGTGGTCAAAATGTCATTAAAAATAATTTACTAAACTAAAAGCACGCTAAACGTAGCCTGAATATCAGACGGCCACTACTCGTTGAGAATTTAATTAGGCTATACGCTAAAACGAGTTGTAGTAAAATTTTCGCTTGCGTGCAAGGTACTGATTGCCTGTGGGTGAATGTGGGTGTATATTGACGCCTAGTAATTTCAACTTACTGTAAATTTCAAATAGTTCTTTTATTTTTTTAAGGGCAAACCAATGCATTTGGTTACCAGTATCATATCAGTTTTGCAATTTCCTTGTATTGGCTGTAGGTGTTGGTGCTGTGGTGGCACCATCTAATCACGCCATTTCAGAATTGGTGAGCCACCTTAATGTGGAGTAAACGAGGGCCCCAATATGGCCAGTGGCGGAAATCTTGGTGGGGTGGGGGGTGTCCGCCCCCCCCCCCCACCTTCACGTAAAATTGACGAATTTTCGGAAATTTTGACCTAAAAGAGGGCTAAAAACAGTCTTTTCGAGTGGAAATGGGGGTATGTCGGAAATTTGAAAGTTCGGTGTCGGAAACTTAGGAGGCTTTGCCCCCCACCGGAAAAAGTGAATTTCCGCCACTGAATATGGCTGGGAGGTTGTGTTTTCATCAATCACCGTTTGTATGTGTGTGTGTGTCAGTGTGTTTGTGTGTTTGTGTCACCACGATCCAAGGACACTGTTCATGGACGAATTGATACATTTTGGTTAAATTTGGATGAGATTTTAACAAAGTTTGTTTTTCTTTGCCGCGCAGAGTAAACTGAGTTCGTAATTTATGCCTTAGGAGGGAGGGCGTAGGTGTTTCCGAGTCTTCTAGTTGTATGATCAGTAATTGTATCCTTGAGTTAGGATTGCAACAAATTCGTTTGTATGAGATGGAAAATAGAAAACTAGATAGACTAATATAGACGGATATTACTAGATACACTATAGATCCAAGTAATGGAAATCAACTAGAAATAATGCAGAAAGGCATTCTGACAAATATATCTCGACACTATCACTATGTATATATGTATAGACAGCTAAGATAAGTTATATGGACGCAATATGACATCAGAAGTGCTTTTCTCAAAATCCAAACTCATTTTACAATCTCTTATACCAACCTCTTGTTTTACTTCTCAACTGAAAATTCACTGAAAAGTCTAATAAAATTTTCTTAATAGTTCTTATTCGGAGTGGCATTTGCGCTGTTACATGACATCATTATCATTGCAGTAACATACGACAATGACAAGAAGACAGGTAATCTCTGTCATGTTGTAGAATAACATTTTATCACCGGTATAGCTGTGGTGAATATTAAATAACACTCATGGTTTTGCTAAAAAATACTGTTAGCTAGCTTATCGTTGAATACCTTATTTATTTTATAGGATATGTGTGCAAAGGGAATAAAGATCATTTTAGATTCAGTTTCGCGTATCCTTTGCTTCTAACGTTACAGATTTTACAAGTTTAATACTGGGGGTGCAAGTAAGGATTTCCTTTGGGGTGGATAGGTTTTCGGATCGTCGGATTTCGCCGAAAAAATTGTTCGGATTTTGGATTTACGGATCTTATTAATACAGCGGATTTATCTAATATTTTGGCTCGGATTGTGGATTTTGCTTGCAATTTAGTTCGGATCCTGGATTGTGACTTCATAGTAGAGCTGTTAGTGGATCCGAATTTAGACAAGAGCATTGTCGGCTCGGCGGATTTTGCTTCAAATTTAGGCGGATCGGCGGATTTGTATACCCCTATTCACCCCCTCTTCTTAATTAAGAACTTCAGATTTCAAACTCAAGAGGGAAGCATTTTGAGTCAACCAAAAAAAAGAAGTTTCCTTAACGTCACATCTTAGAATGTCCATTTTAAACTTGCTGTTGAAAGTGAGTATATTATAATATATGGAACTCTCACAAGTAACGTTTCCGTCTTTTTCAAGGACGTTGTTGTTATACTTTACTCAAATATCATCGTCTTTGTCATTGTCATTTTAGCCAATCTCGCTAATTCTAATTGTTTCGAATTATCTCACTCGTGGTGACGGGGGACTGAAGGAGAAGGTTTCACAATATCGCGCGAATAGAGGTAATATGGATGAACCTTACTGGACCAATGGGGGAAAAATTTCAGTTTCAGTTGGAGGGACCATCAAGAAAAAGGGACCCAACTAGTTGTTAACGGGAAAACTGGGAACTTGTAGGGGCGGGGGGTCTGGGGGTCCTCCCCCAGAAGATTTTTGTATGTTTAGGGCTTGATTGTCTGCATTTTTAGACACAATTTGTTTATATATAATTCATCCGCTAGACCTCGCGCGAGACAACAATTTGATCATGGGAATACTAAAACAATTTTTTAACTAAGTTATTCTTCCCTTTCTTGCTTATCAGTATTTTGGACTGAAGTGGACCTTCACGCGGGGGGAGGGGCAACATATTGTTCACTTTAGTGTTAAACACTGAGCCAGTTCCCTCAAATTAAACATTTCTTACAAATCCTTCAAAACTTAGAATGCGCACAATTCCCACGGTGATCACAGAATCTTTGATAGTGTACACCAGGCCTCCAAATCTAGTCACCACATTTCATCTCATTTATTTAGGCACAGGAACTGAACCGCCAAATCAAGCTCTTCCTCCTCAAGAACCACCACCATACTAGAGAAGATACAAGCTTGTTTTTGTGCAACAGAACTATTCCAATGTATACTTAGCATTCTCGATGTTTAATTTGCTGTTTTTTAACGAAGATTTCATGCTTGCCTCAGTCAAACTGTTGTAGGATAGTGATATCTTTACTGGGTGTAATAAATTCAATTGTAGCAAGTGTGTATGAATTCAAATATGGCATAAAATTGTCAATAAAAATTATCAAAAACATTGCTTCAATTAATTTAAAAAAAACAAAACAAAAATAATTATTAAAATACTTTTGAAACACATAATTTAAGGGTGGACCATTAGTTATCCTGGGAGGGTAGGTTGGGGTTTGGCGAGGGCTGTGTGAGATCCCCAAAAAAATTCAGGCAAAGAGTGGAATTTGAAATTCATCCATTTAGGGAAAGAAAAAATTCCTGCAACTGCTTGGAATATAATACAACAGTAACTCTGAAAACAGTAAACATAAAACGGTAAACAATACCCTTCAAACATTTTGAAAAGTGTTTATTCGACGTTTCGACTAGATTTTAGTCATCATTTGAATAAAAACTTATCATCAAAATGTTTTCGGAGTTACTACTAGATTGTATTTAATTAAAGTGGTTCCAGCATTAAAAGTGAATATACAGAATTATATAGAAAAAATTCCCGCACAGCTCCTACACCGTTAAAAAAGTTCGATAAAGCTCCAAAAAAATCTTCCAAGAAGAATTTTCCCTCCCCCCGGATATATAATGGTCTAGCCCTAAATTGGGGACGGAGGTTATTTTGCTGGCCTCAGAGTGACAATACGTAACAAAGCAACGGTTTTACTAACACTAACCCTATTCCAAACACCAACACTAACCCTTGCCCAAATCTAACCCTACTCCAAGTTTGTTTTTAAACCAATCTTGAAGAAAAAAATTCTGACGAAATGTCATTCTGAGTTCAGCGAAATAACTTCTTCCCTAAATTGGACGTCAATTTAATAAGGAAGCGAAATCGGCATGATGGCCACTTAATACATAAAAAGCGCTTTGCATAAAATGCGATATCAAGTTACTTTGCGTCCTTCCCACATTGACCCCAACCTCTCCTGATTGGTCCATTTCACCGATGCAAACAATGTGTTACACATTCCTACAATCTGATTGGTGGAGCGATGAATGCGCTTGACTATAAGGTCAAAGAGATAAAGTGATTCCATTTTGCTTGATCGTTCGCATTTGGAGTACGTATTAAACAAATAATTAAATTTTATTATTAAAGAAGACTTAGTCCTCAAGGTGAAGAGATGTCAATACATAAAGCGAATCCTCTTAATGAAGAAAGACGGGTGATAGGTGAGGGATTTTTAAAAAAAATTACACAAACATAACCTTGCTTTATAGATGTCGGTCGATTTCTTGAGTCCACGCGTCATGAATTATAAAACAATTTTGTTTCGAAGTATCTGTATAATTTCGTTATGAGTTAAGTGGGTTGTTATAAGGGGTTATCGCGGGTCCAATTAAGTCTTAATTAATTGATGTTTGCATTTGTTTAACGCGAATATTCAAAACATTTGCTCGTTTTTGTAAACGCGCGACCTCAGTCATGCGGTGCTGTTTACAGCTTTGGCAAAGAAGGGCAAGTTATTGTTGCCAGATTTTGCTGTTTTTACTTCGTTTATTTTGCCATAATTATCTTTTTCGTAGTAAGAATACCATTGTAAGAAGAGCTATAGAGAAGCTTTAGAAACATTGGTTAAAAACCATTAAAAATCCTTGTTTTGTTTGATAAACAGAAGGCTTATAGCAGTGGCGCAGATCATTCTTTGGGTGTAATATTTCTTTCTAGCAATTGCCGTGATTTGTTTAGACAAACGATTGAGAATTAGCAGTAAATAAATACTAAAAGGTCAAGTGATTTATAAAGGAAAATAAACTTGGTTTTATTTTTAAATAACAGAAAAGTATAGCGTACCACGTGCATTCCATATTCGGACGCACTGGAATTTCATGGTGTTTGGCAAAAAGTGATTTCACAAGAGAAAACAAACCGCAAATACAAGATATATCGAGGGCAAAATACTATGTGGTTATTATAAAAAGGAAATTAAACATTGAATGGTTTTAAGACACACACCCTTCCTCTCAAGGACAAAACATTTGGACTGGTCATCAACATTCCTGCCAAATATTTTACCATCAGCCAGAGTTAGGATTGGGTTATTAACAATTATTGGATGAGGCTGAGCAGGATATCCAGAATTATTTAGACCAAAGTCAATGTCAGCAGATAACATTGACCGAGGTCTGAATAATTCTGGTATCCTGCGCAAGCCGAATTCAATAATTGTTTTATTATTCATTTTGTGACAGAAATAAAACAAAACAAGCAACAATTGAAAACAAATAAATATTCATTGAATTGATTCGTAAATTCAACTAAAAATTTCCCGCCAATTTGTATTTTCACATAAAATACCGCTGAAATACCTTGGGCGCTGTCCAACAACCTCTGCAGATTACTGTTTCTGCTGGAAATAGCGCAGGCACCTACAAATACCCAAAATTATTTGTAGGCTCTTAGCCAATGAAAAACCGAGAACACAGTACAATGAATAATAATCATCAGAATAAGATCTCTGGGTTAGGATTTTGAAAGGATTAAGCTCAGGGGCAAACCATAATTAGAAATTGGATTGGGGGGCCAGTGCAAACTCCGGTTATTTTAGATTTGGGTCCGGCAGTCGAAACTCCGGCTTCTGCTCCGGCAAGGAAATTTTAAGGAAATTTCATATTTAAAAGTAGAAGCAGGCGAAAGTTTTTCAGTGTAATTTCAGAATTTATTTTATTCCTTTTTGAGCTTTCTCCTTTACTTATCAAATATACATGCTTCAGTCTTGTTTAATTAAACAACGTTTTGTAGAAGGTAAAACCGCATGGCAGCATGGTATTTTCGCCCAAAATACATTGGAGTCAGCGGATTTTTGTATCAAAAGCAATAGCAATGCGCTTGCAGAATTTTCAAAGCCTCGGATTGGAGCAAGTAATTAAACTTTATAGTAACTTCAAATCATTCAATTGAAATATGAAATAATTTTCTGCCGGAGTTTTCCAACTCCGGCAAAATATGCTGGAGTTCCGGCGCACAGCTCTATGGGGAGCTGGGGGGGTGCTGATGAAAGAGGAAATAAAAGAAAATACCTTTAAAAAAATGCCAGCACAAGCTGCAGATGTCCAGCCAAGCTGAAGATCCTCCCCCAATCATTTGTCTAATGGTCTTCCCCTTAGAGTTAGGATTAGCATTAGGAATAGTAACTGTCAATTATATTGTTGGTAGATTTTTGGTAGATGGAATTTTGTGTGAAAGATTTATATACAATTTTAGGAACAGCAGCAGCGAGAAATGCGATTCAATGTAGAAATTTTACCATCTTTTTAGATAATCTAATAGCAAGCAGTCAAAACTTAATGGGTAGCAATGAAGGAGTACAGCAGTATCCACCATCATCGGACTACCAAATGGCACCAGGAAAAACAAAGATAACAATGAAATCAAGGCGTGGCAGAACATCGTTTACCCAAGCTCAACTTTCTGACCTGGAGGCTGCTTTTTCCAATACACACTATCCTGATTTTCAGACAAGAAAGGAATTGTCAAACCGTTTAAAAATTCCTGACGATCGAATACAGGTTAGCTAAATAATAGAGCTCCTATCTTCATAGTATTTTTCCAATAAACGGCCATGCTTTGCATCTGAACTACACACCAATCATAGCTGCTACATTTTATCAGCCATTACAAAATAATGCATCTATAACAGGTTATTACTAACTACATTTATATTTTAGTTTATTTTTGTGCATGCTAAATCAAAAATTTATCATAGGGTGTGAAGTGAACAAAGTGTAGACAGAGATAAGTGGGATTGAAAGGTTGGATAGTTATTAAGTGGTTTGGGCACAGTTGACCTGGGGCAGGTGGGGACATGCCCAAAGCACCGGCCTACAAACCTTATATCCACATACCTACCGAAATAATCAAACAAGGTTGAATAAATTCTTATTTTATACCATTACCTAGGTTTGGTTCCAGAATCGAAGAGCAAAGTATAGAAAGACGCAACGTCAGATGTTCAATGGTTACCATGGGAGCCATGGTGTGGCTGCACAGAACACTGCGACAATGATGTTGGTTCATCCTGGCAACCAAGAACATCATGGAAGACAACCAGCAGGACAATCACATGATGGTACCATGGGAAGACCATCACCCGTACAACACACAACTGCCGCAGTAAAGGAAGAGGCAACAGGTTTGTTTTATTAACTAAAGATTTCATGAGCCAGGAGGTACACCCTCCTCGTCAATAGTCATCACCCCAATGAATGGACACATGATATTTACCAATCCCCCCCCTTAGAAATAAATACATACATGCTTGCCAAAACACTGATCACTTTTATTTTGGAAAACTAATCAGAAAAGATGTTCATACTGTATTAAATAGCCACTTGCCCCCTACACCAAATTTTTCTTTTATAGACCTTTCTGTAGTATTTATTCAGAAACTGAAATAAGATTTCAGGCTCTGTTTAGTTAGCTTTGCCAAAAATTATGAAAGCCTGGAGACATTTAAATTATGGGCAATGCATTGTAACTTGTGTGTCGTTAATTGTTGACCATAGACTGGAGTGTCGAAACAGTACATTGGGTCTTGATTACAATTCGACTGGGCTTTGTAATCATTTATTTAATTAAATCAAAGTAGCGAGCGAAACATGATTGATATACCTGGTTGCAGTGAACGAACAAACTTTAAATAAATATTATGTATTTTTATAGACACATAGTGGGAATTTTTACACTGAAAACAAGCAATATTTTTGTGTAATTAATGTTTCCATTTTTAGACTTCAATGATGCATCTTTGGCACTTAATTTGATAGGCAGTTCTTCAGGAGAAAGCAAGCCACAACACCACCTAACCAAACAAGATCAGCTTGTGAATATTTACGAGAAGTTGACAACACCTCATACAACACAAGGGCTCGTTTCTGAGAACCAGAAGACAGCTCCATCACTTTATTCATTGAGCGCTACAATAACATCATCAGGACAATATATCATACTAGGAGATAACTCTCATTCAACCATGCCCTCCAATTACCCAGCACAAGTCCCAACAACCTCTGGAAAATACTAGTCATTGGACAACTTAGAAACAACTCTAGGTACATAAAAAGGAACGTGTTTTGATCAGTTAAATATAATATATGCTTTGGGTGAATTGCAATACATGCGTTTTTCGATCACCAGCTAGTAATTTACATATGTTGGGATACACATGACAAATATTTGTGTAGCTTGTATTGCACAGTCTGTCCTAAATCTGTTTTGTACACTATAAACTTTAATTCTACTGTAAATAGTGTTTGATAATTTTGTTGGGTTTTCATGTTTTGTCTAGTTATATAAATTCAAGAATGTTAATAACAAGACACAGAGTGCTTACAACTGCCATAATGTGCTATATTATATGCACTTCAAATTATGCAACAAATAAATATTTTATGTAGTTTTATCTCCTAAATATTTCTCTACATATATTTCCTCTAGCTTGCGTAACCTTTCAGATAGCTTTGGATGCGCCCAATCTTTTAAATCGTTTCCTTCAATGGAATACAAGTTTTTCCCATCTTGCCTGTTCAATCCTCTTAACGTTTCGTTCACTTTCATCCTTTTCATAGTTGCATTTATTCCACCTTTTACATATGTTACACCAAGCATTGCAGCATTTTGATCTGCTGCAAATTCTCGATTGTGGTGTAATGTTGTATTTTGTCGACTGAATATCCAATAGCTTGACAGCCAAAGAGAGCCCTGTACTGCAATTTTGAGTAAACTATTGGGAGGCAGGTTAGCTAGAATAATCGGTATTGCTCTATATGTGAAATACAACCACCAAGCTGGCAAGAAACAATTTGTGGTAAAATCCAAGTTCTGCAAATGACTTACTTCGTGAGCTAAGATAAACTTCAACTCTTCGTCATTAAACAACAACGCTTTACTTAATTTCTTACCAGCTTTGCTGTCCAAGTTTAATTTTTTCCCCTTGAATACAAGCCCTGATTCTGAAAGTTGTTCAAGGTCTGTGTATAAATAAAGACGTGATATACCGATAGCGGCACCTCCAGGCAGCCAGGTTGAACCAACAGAAACGCTACTACAACCATTATTTATAAAAAGTTTTACCTTCTCAGAATGGGATAAATTCATCTTCTTTGCAACCTCTTCAAAAGCTTGTTCGATATGACAAGGTATGTCGACATTTTTAAAGCCTTGGTGGTTGACAACAAAATTTGGATACAGATTTGGCACAGAATGGACGAGTACAAGAACAGTAGACGTAGCTGCAACAATGCCATGAACCAATTTTGACCGAGACATTAATTCTTTTCACAAAAATTCAGTTTTCTTCATTGATAAATAATACTGTAAATATTAAGGTTAGCACTATTTTCCATCCAGCAAATTGACAGACGTCATTTTCGGAAGAGGTGTTACATGTGGCTAACTCTGGCTAACTTCAACCGTACCCTCTAACCCTATTAAACCCGAACCGAATTAATCAAAAAATCCAAAAAGAAACGACTGTACAAAATCGATAGGGTGGTTTTCTGGATGGAAAAAAAGTGCTAACCAAGTATTAATACACTGTAAAGAGATGAGATTTTTATCGAAGCCAAATACCACTGAATATAAGCCACAAATTACCAAAAGAGGCCAATAACAACTTTACAAGTAATGACTTTATTTTATATTGATAATATGAAAACTAAAAAGCCTTTAAATACTAAGTAGTACACTTTAAACAAATTAAATAGTAAGATCTTATGTAAGTTTCTCAGACAAGATCAACTCGTGGAATTTCAGTCGATAAGTATGACGTCATCTGTCTTTGTATCGTCACCAGCCGGCTTGTCAGGGACCGCAGACTCATTTGCCGAGGGACTGGTTTTGAGAAGCCCCATTTCAGATGCTTTGTTTCGTAGAACATTTGAAACTTCTGGTGTCGAAGATTTCTGTATTGTTAGCGATGGAGGGTTGCTCGAGACGGTGGGGGTTGATGCTACCGGGGTTTTTTCGCTGCTCACTGTAGCCGGAGTAGTGACACCAAGGGACGAAGTTCCTGTAGTAGACAAGGCCTGTGGTTTAGCGGGATCAGGGAGTTTTTTACCCTCGGAGGTTACCGGAGGTTCGGGTTTCTTTTGTGCCAGTCTATTCAGGATACTTCTTTCCGTCATATGTAGCCGAGCGGAGACTGGAGGGAGATTGATTAAAGTGGATGGTAAACGTGTTACTTCATTTTTCATATCTGAAAGCAATTCCTCCAATTGATTGAGAACTAAAACGATCATTTTTAAAATTAGTATTTTGCGTGAATGCACATCAAATAAACAGCGGAAATCTTTATAAGTTATTTTATGATTTTGAAAGTTCTTTTACATAAGACAATAAAAATATCTTATGTTATAACCTTCTCTGGTAGTTGTCATTACACCAACCTTTGTGTAAAACTGCATTTGCAGGTTTGTTTCCATTTAACGATTCTTTCGAAAGATGTTGATGACTTTCAGCCAAACACTGGACTTCGGCGAACCTAGCAAAAACAAGTTTTGGTGAGGTCGTAAAGGGCTAAAATTGGAGCTGGATTTGCCTATTTTTCACTGGGAAGATGAAATTTGCACCAGTTATTTTGCTGCTGGGAATGGGATTATGCAAGGTGGCTAGGACTCAGGTTAATTTTTTCCCGGGAGAATGGACTCTCCCTTCACGACCCTCTCATGTTTTTACTGCATACATAAACAGGTCATGTAAAAAAAGTAGAACATACTTGGAGTTCAAAGCCATGACAGGTAGTTTTGGATCTTGATGTAAATGAAGTAATTTTGCCCTCTGTATTTGTTCTTCAACAATCAAGGCTTGTTCCAACAGCTAAAAATACAGAATAACTTTTTAGTGCGTCGAGAAATGAAAATTACTTGAAGTAAAATAAAAGGTACTTACCTTAAATCTTCGCGATATAAACTTGTTCTTATATTCAAGTGAAACTAAAAAAACAAGATAAAATATAGGTAGTTGCATACTTCAACCAAGCTCCTAAATATTCTTCCTACACTAACATAACACTTAAGATATATAACACTTGATGGTGGGATATAGAGTCAAATACTTTGGATTTAACACAATAAAGGAAAACGAGGGTTGCTGAGATTTGAGCCAGTTCAAATATTGGTGACGAGTTTTTGGTACGTGTGATACTGTGAGTAAACTTTCATCACCTCTCATGCAACTCTTGTTCTCGTTTGACTAAACCATGAGAGAGTTGAGTAAACTCTCTCAGGCCAACTCTTATCCTCATCTGATCAAGACTTAACTTACCTCGACGGAAAGGTTCGTTGATTACAACAAATTTCGGATCATTAGCAATATCTTGCCACCTACCATACCCATGACTAAGACCACATGTTAAAGAAAATACAAACGCTACGGAAGTCTCCACAAACTAACAATACTTTCATGCGGTGCCCTGTTTCAATAAAATATTCTTCAAACCTAATGTGCTGACAGGTATGGTTAGACTATGAAAGGATACACAACTAAGCCAGCGAGCAACCAATAATCATGTTTTCTCCACCAGATGTCATCTCTCTTCTGTCTTTCTTCAACTTCCCAAATTGTATGCAGCTCTGTAAAACCACCATCAGCAATATTGAATACAAACTCCTTGGATCTTAGCCTCACGAGATCGTCTGGGCTGAGTAACGCAAATCTGGGATCCTTCTCTTTCGGCTGTTGCTGTGGAGTACTCGTACAAGCATCTTTTTTCTCCACAGTTTTTTCACCCCCATCTACCTTTTTATCCTCGTCATTTTTGGCGTTGACATTTTTATCGGCGTCATTTTTGTCGTCGCTATTTTTATCGGAGTCCTTTTTGTCACTAACATTTTTATCAGCGTCACTTTTTTCGCTGACATTTTTATCGGCGTCCTTTTTTTCGCCAACATTTTTATCGGCGTCCTTTTTTTCGCTGACATTTTTATCGGCGTCATTTTTGTCACCGATTTTTTTGTCGGGGTCATTTTCTTCGCTAGGTTTAGTGTCATCGACTTTCTCTTCAGATTCCTTGCCTACTTTCGAGGAATTGCTTGATTTGTCAGCTGAATCACTCGTCATTTCCACTTCTCCAGTTTCTGCATTCGTGTTCGCCTTATTCGTAATGGAAGATTTTTCATTGGATGTTTCAGTTTTGGTGTTTTTCGTTTCAGATTTGTCGGCGACATTTTTGTCATCGTCAATTTTCTCCACAGCTTTGTCAGCATTATTTCCATCAGCACCTTCGCCAGTTTTTACATCTGGTTTTTCTGTTGATTTACCGTCAGATTTTGGTGGCGAGGTTTTTTCGTCTTCCACTGGCTTCTCGTCATTCGTCACTTTCTCTGAAAGTTTCTCTGAAAGTTTCTCTGAAAGTTTCTCTGAAAGTTTCTCTGAAGGCTTCTCTGAAGGCTTCTCTGAAGGTTTCTCTGAAGCTTTCTCCGCTGTTCCTGCAAGAAAACATCGCACACAATAAGACAAAAATTGATATATTAAGCCGTCTTTATACACGTTTAATTCGTCTAGTGTAAATACGAAGACGACGAACTTTGGACTATTTTATATTTTTGAGATTTTAATCTTAGTGTTATGTTTAGACAAAGTTGATACGTTTGATTTTGAAAAAATATTACTGTCTATCTGGTTTTCTTATCTCAGATCTATAGTGGACAAGATGCTTGTATTGGGATAAACAGATAAAGATGTTACCGTTTGACACTCCATCAGAATCCTTAATTTCTATTGTTCTGTTTTGTTTATCCTAGAACGGTACAATCAACTAACATTGAGCCACACAAACATTGCAAAGAAATTGTTGTAATCAATCTATATAAATCGCTCCACTTATCATATAAAGATCAGTTTTACCTTCGGTAGAATAACATTTATCGGCTTTCGGAGAACATTGTAGGGCGAAAATTCATCAACCTATACGAGAGTAGAAGACATTAAATTTTAATAAAACCATACAGAAACATCTCTGTCCATATAACTCCACTGACGTATACTGCGCTGTTCATTTATTTATTATAAATAGACTATATGGCAGGGTATTCGCAACAGCGATTAGCCAATTACTGCGAACTCAATTTCGTTTAGTTTAGGTTTAGTAATACTGGATCAAAAGGAATGAAATTCATCGTACTTCGTTTGGAGAAGCCTCGTTCAAACGAGTTCGACTTCCAATGGTTTGAATAATGCAATTCATCAAACATTTGCATAGCATCACCTGTTGCTATGGCTGGCTTCGCAACTAGTTGGACCAACATGTTAGCCTGGTTTGAAGGGGCTTTCTACACAGTGTAGTGCTCCATATAGACTACTTACTTTCTTTCTAATCAAGCTCATGATACCAATCCTGTTCAAAACAACATGACGTTGGACTCCTTCTTTTGGAACACCATCAGCATAGGTTGGTACGGTATCCGGTGTTGGCTCACAAAGATGACGCATGAACATCGACACGTATGTCCTGGCAAAATTTGAAAATACAATGTTTGATGGTTTTTGCATGACCCTTGCATTACTGACACAGGGATTCCTACAATATACAGTTGTCCATTATAATTTCAGTCATATTTGAGAAAAATATTCCCAGTTTAATTCTACCAAGTACTAAGTACTCTGGCAAGGCTTTACTCCAATACTAAGAATAGTTTACGTTGCCTCCTATTTTAACACTAGACCAACTAAGAATGCACCAATACGGTAGTGTCTTATTAGACTTCTAAGGAGAACGGTTTAGAATCCTCCTATCCTTATATATTCGTATAAATACAGTTAGTTTAGTTTAAGGCAGTGCAATACTTACTGGACTTCCTTGTCTGTTTTTCCACGAAGATCGCGAACAAACCTAAATTGTTCAAACAGAAACTAATTATTATTTTGTAACACTACATGTACTAATCTTTTAAAAAATAGAAAGGACAAATCAGGGAATGCTTCTCTTTACTGTTTTGAAGGTTAGGACTTGAACGATACAACGTATAGCTTAAATCTTTATTCTGTAATCTCTTAAGTAACTGCTTACCATTGAGTTCTGAAAGATTGTTTTGGTGGTAATCCATATCTCATAATTGCGTTCAAGAAAGCACGTCGCTGTCGAATGTTGAATCCGTACACCTGGGGTAGAAAACAAACAGCTATGGACCATTGGCAGAATTACTACAGCATACCATTACAAACGCTTAACTTTTACTTCAATCTTTAATCCCTTAGATAAACTAAACATTCAATGTACTTTGAGAACAGATTATCTGATACAAGGATATATATTTGCACGAACCTCAAGATTTCCATTGACTTTAGCCAACAACGGTGGAACATAATCTACGTCAGGCTTCAGTCTTCGAGATCGACCTATACAAGAACAAGTCCCATTCACTGAAATAGCGAG